TGTTCTAGAGTCTTCCTAGGCTCGGTGGAGGGCCTGCTTCAGTTCTTCAGAACATGAGTGCAGAGAAATAGTCAAGGTTCCAGCCAAGACAAGGTACCGGTACTCTTCCCACCAGCACTGCTCCAAGGAGGATGGGTGCAAATGGGCCGAGTGTCTCTCCAGCACTTCAGCAGGGTAACAAGAGCTCACGTTTCTTCCGAGCCAGTCACATGCTAACGCTGAAGCTTATTCACTGCCCATTTTCCAGATGTGAAACGAAGGCTTTGAGAGCTGCATCTAGTGAATGGTAGAGCCGAGATTCAAACCTGAGCTCCCTGCCCCGGGCCCCAATATGCCTTCTCGCTGGAAGGAGGTCTGAGGATCTCAGAGCTGATAAGACCTTCTGGAGCCTGGCTAGAAGCCCTCTCTTTGCCCTCCTTTGGGGAAAGCAAGGCAAGAGAGAGGCAACTCTATGACATCTGTTACCATTAAACCCCACTGCCCTTCAGTCAATTCCAACTCAGAGTGACCCTATGTAGGGTTCCCAAGACGGTACATTTTTACTGGAGCAGACAATCCCCTCTTGAGGACAAGCTGGTGGGTTAGCACTAAACAAGGCCAGATGCCAAGGTCACTAGTGTCTCTGTAGGCGAACTTGGACCCAGCTGATATGGCAATGACCTGGAACCAGCTAGCATTATGGACCCCACCCACTCCCGGCCCCACCCCTGCGGTTAGCGGTCCAATGTGTAAACCCCATCCACCAATTCAGTCCCTTCTTGTGCCGCCTTCCGTCTCTGGCTGACACCATCATGGAGGAGTGGGCGGGCTCAAGTGAACATTACACTCAGCTCTAAGGGGGATGCATGCAGTAATGCTGTGGCTTCGGTGGTCCCCCGGAAGCAGGACAGCCAGCACTGAGGTGTAAGCAGAAGACCATCTGGTTTCCACAGAGGAGAGTCCTGGATTCTGGCAGGTCTGGGCATAGTGATTCACCCTCACGTGGGCAGGCAGACACCTGACCACCTGTGTCTCACCATCCCATTGAGTTTAGGGAAGGCCCTGCTCCCATTTGTAGTACCACAAGCTGCTGGAGGCCCCTCTGCTCCACCTCCGCCAGGGGTCTGCCTCACCCTTGTCTGAGGTCAGGGTGAGGAAGGGCTGTCAGTAGGTGGGAGGGGGGCTGCTGATCTCCTTCAGGGGGGCGGCTGTGTGGAGCTATACTTCCAACCGGAGGGGAGTGGAGTCCTGGGTTTAATAGAGGAGGGGAGTGGAGTCCTGGGTTTAATAG